TAGTGCCTTTCACTTGTTTTGGTGGGTAAAGTGTTAATTCGGTGGAACTAGATCCATAGAAGGCTATCAGCACATATTTAATGTTAATTTTAATTAACATTAAATGCTTAAAAGCATAAGATTGTGACTCTTCCCTAGCGTGTTAGACCCAATCAGCGGAGATACGCGTGGTTATAGCCGTAAATGGAGGTCAGCAAATTGCCAAAAGCCACTATTATTCTGGCTTAATTCTATTCCCTTCTCAGCCTTAATTATGCCCTAATTCCATGGGGGATTGCCTCATCTCCGCCGGTTTTAGAGGTTGTACATGTATGGTGAGCCTGCTTTAAGACGGAATAAGCCAATCAAGCCCGATTTAAGAGGGATATGAAGGCGGCAGAATAACTGACGGGCAAAGTACTTATTAAGAAGAAGTATCCACTAATTATGCTCTTCTACTTTTCACTTCCGCTGCACGCCTGCAGTAATATGCCCGTCGAGTGAGCTGCAGACTCTAAAGGACATGGATGGGGACTGTAGCACAATTCGCCCTTATTTAACGCGTTGCGATTACTCTGCTACGCTTACTTCCTACTCGCTCACCAGCACTCCAAAGCAAAGTTTTCCATGCCACTTATCGAAACTTTCAACTGGGCTCACGCTAAATAGTTGTACATCTGGGCATTGTTCGAGTCTCGCTCGAGATACTCTCTGTCGATGAGACTCTCAATACGACGCTTGATATCTGCAGCCTTTGCGGGGAATCGAACCTGCGTGAAGATCTCCGTCATCAGCAACGCGTGCGACAGCTTCTTGCGCGCCTTCATGATGCGCACGATAGCAGCATCCACCTGGTACTGACGGTCCCTGAACACGCGCTCGTGGGTGTCTTCGTTCTCCTTCTTGGTCTCCTTCATCTGGATCGAGTTAATCTTGATGCGGATGAGCTGGTTCGTGAAGTTGGTGTTGAATACGAACGTGTCGTCGTCGTTGATCTCCCTTCCCTTCGGTACTTTTTGCAGTACACGCGTTTTACCACACGCCAGAGACTGCAACGTGCGTCTCAGCTCTCCATCTTCGATACGTGCTTGCTCCTTAATCTCCTTAAAGCCCAGCGAATCCGCTCCATTAAAGCACAGCAACACCACAGTCTGGTAGAGCGACACAACCAACTCCTTTCTACCTGAAGGGAAGGTAGCCTTCACCACACACTGGGCCAGAGAGTGTTGCCACTGAAGCTGACGACCTTGATACTTGGACGAGTAGAACTTGTCGAAAATCTCCTTCAGAGGAACCAATGCAGCCGGTAGGTTGATTTCAACAGCAGCGTATGGTGGCCAGAATCCAGTCGTGAGAACTTGGACTTGCATGTCTGGAATGCCACGATTTCCATGCAGAGCTTCCAACGCGTTTCTACAGAAATTACATAATTAAGTTGCGAAGGTCGTGGTAATTCAGACGGGAACGTACCTGCTAGCTGCGTGTTGCTGGAACTGCGTCATCACGTTTTGAGAAAGATCGATGTCCTTGAACATTCCCTCGAGCTTTAACACATTAATTAAGAGTTGTCAGTAACAGGCTACAGACCGATAGAGGATAGACATCTCACCTTGTTCGTAAAGGAGCTACCGCATTCAGTTTTCAGCTTGGACAGCATGAGTTTCTCCAAGTCGAACGAAGCGCTCTTGCCAACCAGCAAGCGTTTAGCAAGGTCTTTCTTGTAGAAGGCCTCGAACACATCCTTGCCTTGGATGTACCGGAAAATGACCATGACGCGGTCCAGCAGACTCTCCACTTCTGCCTCCGAGCCGCCCTTGTTGCCCGTTCGAAGCTTCGAATCCACGAACTTGGCCACCAGCTCAGCAGGTCGGTTCGCTCGCACATTAATCGCATTCTCCATCGCCGACTTCATAGCGAACGCAAAGTCTGAGTTCGACTGGAACGAGTCGCTTAACACGGCGTCCAAATCCGTCTTCAGCTTGAGTATTTTCTCCACAAAAGTCTTCTCCTGCTGGTCATCCATCACTAATTTCGACACGTTCTTCTGGATATAATTCGAGAATGCCGTCTTGAGGTCATTGATCGCATCCACTCTGGCGAAAAGCGAGTACATCCGCTTCAAATCGTCAATCCTGCCTTCCTCCATGAGCGTTTCGAACCCGCGCTCCAACAATGTAGCCACATGAGGCTTCAGTAACTTGTTCTCGACCACCGAAATGAGCTGTTTCTTGGTCAATGCATCCAAATAGTGATTCACTCGTTCATTCTCCTCATGTAGCCTCTTCTCCGCATGCATTAAAAACTGCGGGACACTCACAGACTCGACTGTCGCGGCTCCTTCCTGCAGATAAAATCTTTCTGAAGCCATCAAAAAAGGCGTCTCGAAGTCGGCGTGGTACAAGTGCAAGGACAGCAGCATACGTAGCAGATTGTACAGGTAACTGCGGTTGATGGCTTCTCCCTTGCGTTCGTGCTCTACGAGCTCCAGCAACGCGTCGATGAGTTTGGTCTCCAAGCCTCGACGTTGTACGAGATTGCCACGCACCAAATTGAGGCCCATGTCCCAAATGGACGCGATATGGGGCGTCTGCATCACGTACGTGCGGTCCAAATAGAGGAAAATGGTGCGGATTACGAGCATGTCCTCACAATGGTCTTCCCAGAGTCTGTGTACTGCCTCTAGGAACAGATTCATGTCTCCCCCAGTGTATCGTCCAAGATCTTCCACTCTCTCTCTGATGTGAAGGGAACAGGTCTCTTCTAGCTTCGTATAGAGCCTTGCAGCCATCTTCCACGTGCACATGTCCTCTACGGAGCGGTAGAGTTCCTCTCGGCTGAGTGTAGACATTTGTTTGGCGTGTACGGCGTGTACAGCAGCCTCCAGTTTGGTCCAAGTGTCTTCTTCAAAGGATTCGGGCAGCTTTGGGGTGACTTTGAAGGGTTTGATGGTCATTTTCTTCTTCTTCGTGCCAAGTTTGTGCCCTGAGCCGCTGTTGCTGCGCTCTTGCTTGCGACTGAAGCCTGTGCGTCCATTAGTGGACGATGCGAAGCCGGTGGAAGCCATAGGATCCAATTGCCTAATAAATGCACAATATTGTAGGCGTTAGATGGAGCATTACGAAGCGAAAAGCGGGGTTGTTAGACTGCAAGACGCAGAGGAAGGAGATACACCGAGAGATCTCGCGAAAGAAGCGCTGTAGTCGGCGTAAGGAGCCAGCGAAGGACGCACCTGAACACGGCGATTGCTTTCCCCTTTCTAAAATGATGCGCTTACTGATGAGGATTTCTGGGCTTCTAATTGGGACACTACAGTATTTTGATCAAATACTGAAATACCCCTTTTAGTGGCTCAAATGAATCAGATTTCTGATTACTCGGTGATTATGTCGATGGATTCAGATTTCTGATTCTGTCAACTTGAACTCCCTGAAAAGGTGTCACTTCAGGAAATTGCTTCCTTCGATATGGCACGCGTCTGCTTCCCTCCCGCAAGTGATGAAGCGTCCGCTACGCATCTTGTAATGACGACAGGTCCGGGCAAGAGCGAGTGGCAATTTGCCGAGCGCGGTTTGCGCTTCTCGTCTCGTTTCGACGGTGGTAACATGGCTCATGTGCAGTTGAATCCGTCAGGGTCGTTCGACGTCAAAGTTTCCGAAGACGCCGCAGCTTTTGGCATTTCTACTGGATACACTACCTGGTTCTACTTCGAGGTAGAACAGACAGTAGTCGAAGCCAGCAAAACTACCAAACAACCCCAAGATCTGCACTTGACACTGGTGAATCTGAATCCGCAGCGTGGACTGTTCAAAAATGGCTACACGATCATGTATAGCTCAGTTGAAGCGCTGGATGAGACAGCAGCAAATGCAACATCTTCCTGTGTCTTCCAGGACGAAAAACGGTGGGCACGTTTGCCTACACCACTGAGTTTCGAGAAATACACAGTTCCAGTGGAGGAGTCGTCGATTCATGAGAAAGGGACCCGGGAACAGCAAACTAGTCAAGAGGAAGAAAGACAAGCGGCGAATGGACCGCAAGATAGTTCAGTTAAACCAGCTTTGAAAGCGATGGACGCGAAGAAGGAGGTGAAAATGCGACTGTCATTCAGCTACAAGTTCAATTTTGCTCGAGAACGGGTAAGATTTGCATTCTGCTACCCGTACACATACACGAGGGTGCAACAGGAACTCGAAAGCTTAGACCAACAATATGCAGATTCAGAACAACGTGACGTGGAGTCACCGATACCTTCTGCGAAGGAGAAGATGTCATCGAACGTTTACTATCATCGCGAGCTCTTGACACGTTCATTGGAAGGTTTACGTGTCGATCTGGTTACGATATCGTCCTGTGACGGCATCGCTTCAAGCCGAGGTCCTCCATATCGGAAATTTGAAGCACAACAAAGCACAGAGCGTCTTTCATGCAAGAGTGCGTTTCGTTTCGATCCCAAGCAGAAGAAAATGGTTGTCATCTCTGCACGAGTGCATCCTGCAGAGACGCCAGCGAATTTTATGCTGGATGGCATACTCCAACTACTTCTCCATCCTACCGACGAGAGTGCAATTGCATTACGAAGGAACTTTGTCTTCAAAATTGTTCCAATGTTGAACCCCGACGGTGTATGTCAAGGTTTCTATCGTACAGACACACGCGGTGTCAATCTGAATCGCGTGTACGAAGATCCACAGCCTGAACTGGCTCCGACGGTATTTGCTTTGAAAAATCTACTACTTGAACTTGTTAAAGACTATGGAGGAGCCGATTCTATCTCAGCGTCGGAGAATATGGTCTACCTGGACCTGCACGCACATGCGAATCGTCGTGGCTGCTTCATCTTCGGTAATAACCATCTCCCAGACATGCTCAACGTGAACAATGAAGCGATGGAGAAGGCTATGGCTCGTCAAGTCCAGACACAATTGTACGCACGACTTGTGGGTCTCCACACGCCATTTTTCGACTACATGGCGTGTTTATTTGACAAGGACGGCATGACGAAGCATGATCTTCGCGACAATAGCAATGCTACCACTTCGCGCCAAGGATCGAGTCGCGTGGCTCTGTATCGCGCCACAGGACTCACGTATGTCTACACGATCGAGTGCAACTACAACGAAGGTCGTCGAAATTTACGCACTTCCACTGTAATGCCTTCGTCATCTACAGTAGACAATACAGGACCAGCCAAGCGCTGCTCCAGCTTGAACGGATCAACAAAGAGCATTCAACCAGACAGACTACGGATACCGCGTCGGACAGCTCCAACGAGCACTCGGCTGTACCTCAAATATTCGCCAGCAGATTGGAGAGACGTTGGCATCGGTGCGATCATAGCGCTCTTGGATCTATTTGAATTGCCCGGTGCGGGACAGCGAATAGAAGACTCTTCATTTCGGTCTCGCGATGGGATCATGAAGAATCTTTTAGCAGAAATCAGGGCCGCAACTCCAGGCGAAGCCTTATATTCGGCGAAACCCAGCAAGAACAGGCAAAGAATCCGGCAGATTGTCAAGCAGCAAACAAGGGTCAATGCGTAGCCGGTATGAGACCTGTGTTTAAGTGTCTACTGCATGTTCCTGTGGGACAGAGAAGTACCATACAAGGATTAAGACTTAGCATGAATTCCACCACAGCAGGACAAGTTTGGCCAACGAAAAGGTTGATGAGATTAAGAAGGGACAGATCTACGAAACTACTTTGATCGATCTATCTCTACTAGAAGCTATTAAACGTGGGCATATTTAACGTTGGCGGCAAATTGAGCTCTGATGGGAGCAAGCTGAAGGTAGTACACCAAGTATTTCAAGAACGCAGCGGAGTTCTCGTGGCTCAGTATTTGTGCCTCCGATAAACCTGAGAGCCCGAGCGTCTTTTGAACATCCGCAATAGGGGTTCCCGCCATTGCCCACTTCGTGAGCACTTCCTTCGTCTTATCTTCAGTCTGATAGCCCGTGCCGAACTTCGCGTACTTCAGCTTTTTCATTCCGTCTTGGTACTCCTTAAACCATTTCTCGTACTTCTTGAACGCTCTCCAGTTTTGGTGAACGATCTGCTCAGCGTGCGGAAGGTTCCACACACCCAGATATTTGCCGACATCCTCCACCGAGTTACCCGCCACAATCCACGAGAGGATCATCTCTTTCGTTTTCTCTTTAGTTTGGGCCCCCGAGCCAAAATACGCATACGGGCGCTCTCCCTTGGCTTTTTCCCACGTCATTCGTTGATATTTGACAAGTGCATTCCAGTTCGGGTGCTGGTTCAACGCCTTGTATTCAATTTTCGACGGGATGTTCAGGATGTACTTCGAAACTTGATCCACCGGTACTTTGTTCTCAGCAAAAAAGTTCAGCAGTTGTTTCGTGGCTGCATTATCGAGCAGATGATTTCCAATACTCAGAGATGCCCTCTCTTCATTCTTTTCGCTCGTACGTCCTTCTGCAGCGCCGCCGTCTTTAAGAAACCTGTTCTCGTAGTTGTTGCTCTGAACAGCGTTGACTGAAGGGGTCCCTGAGTCCAGTCCCGTCGCGATTGCGATGTTTACAAGGGAACTCGCTACAAGCACCAGTAGAATGTAGGGTGCACGCATGGTTGGCTCGAACCTCGGTCTTTGGTCTGAAGGGAATATCGGGTAATGATCTCAAACAGGTCACGTACGCGTAATGACAACATCCAATCCCAAAAAATGATCCCCAACACAAGGAGAACCGCCTGGAAAATCGTACCTTTCGACAGTCCTCATTAGTAATGAGTCATTACTGGTTCTTCAAAGTACACGAGTTAATGACGAGGGCTTCAATTCCTAGGATAATCTACCGTATGAAAGTAAGAACCCTCGTATTACACTGCGAACCGTAAGTATGTTCAATGATGGTATCGTGAGTTCTATTTATTAATATGGCTTACTGAAACGCTCGACGCTATGACCTGCCTCAGCATGGCTACGGGTATCCCTGCGATTTTGCACAATTAGTCTAGGGACGTGCATGTTTACGGTAAAATGAAAAGTAATAAGTTTCTTTTATCACACCTCGTTCTCCGGACTTTTCAGACAGCTGTCCAAGTTTGGAGAATCGATGGTGTGGATTGAAAATAGCGAACTACTAGTATTATAATAATAAAACTGATTGTGACAAATAACAAATTTATCACCATACGTGACCGACCCAGATATTTCTGCTAAAAGCTTCACAAACACAAGCAACTCGATCACCTGCCAATAATTATATGAGTACGGAAGAATCGAATTCTTTTGGTTGCCGCTTGCACTAAACCTGGAAGTTATACAGTGGGGTTGACTTAGGATTCCCTCTACAATTTACGATTTTTACATGTACCACAGTAATGTAGTTCTGTACTTATTAGACACGAATGAAAAATACATATTTTGGGCCTCTCCACCGGTTTTGTGCAAAATCCAACCTACTCAGAAAAAAGTGATAATTTTTGGTTTTTGCTACTACACTGGTCTGTGCAGAAACTATTCTACAGATTTCCCCGGCAAATCCACAACTGCAGTTGTTGATATTCCTCGTGCAGTCAGTGGTCAGACGCGAAGAGAGATGGGCAGCACTAGACAGGACGCGAACTGAATTAATTTAAATTTGGCGGGAATTGGTCATCTCGCAGGAAATGCCATGCATGTGCAAGTTGCTGCATTACAGGAGCAAATGAAAGGCTCAGGATGAACATAATGTATTGCAGCGCCTACCTACACGTACTAAGGTGCCGCCATTTACTAATTTCACCATGCCCTCGCAACCAAAGAACAGATAAGAGGCCAAGCGCACGTGCGTCCGCCTCACAATTGGGCAGAAGATCGAGATATGCAAAATGGCGAGAGCTCGAGGTTCTCGCCCCGACATGCACGCTCTGGTGGAGTGGGCAGCAAGAGCGTTTGACTTGCCTCGACCGCCTTCAGAATGGTCTCTTTACAATATCCTGCGCAACGAAGCCAAGTTGGTAAAGCTACCCAAGGACACCTACAACTACAAAAAGTCGGTGGACCCCGTCATTGACTCGCTGGATCGCGCGCTCATTCACGAGTTCGACAAAATGGAGATGGCGATGAAGACGCTGACAGACCACGCCCTACTGTATCGGTCTAAGTTGTTCGTCGAGGAGCACTACAAGAGCTTACCGGCTGACAAACGGCCGGGTTTTTCCAAAGGCTGGCTGCATCGTTTTAAAAAGCGCCACGGCATCCGTTACCAGCGCAAGCAGGGAGAAGCTGCGTCGGTCGACACAGCAACCGTCGCCGACGGGCGTGCCAACATGCGTTGCATGACGGACTTGTATGCACTGAAGTGGTCTACAACATGGACGAGACGTCTTTCGTCTACCATGCGGATTCACCGCGAACATTGTCGAGGCGTAGCAAGCAGGCCCTGGAAAAAATAATATCCGCGCAGTAGTAATTGCATTGTGAGAGGTCAATTATTTATTACGGGTTTTATGCTAAACCAGTGCAATTCAGTATTGGCACAGTAATATGTAATACAATATATTACAGTAAAACACGATTCGTTGCACTCACCGTTTGCAACCACCCATTTTGCCTGCGTGTTATGCTTTAGTGAGCTCACTTTCAAAACCCCAAGATGGTCGAAAGCAAGGAAATTTGTGCGTTCTTCTACGAGGATCTCGGTGCAGGGAGCTACAAGTGCAAGGAGTGCAGTATCTCGAGAAAGCAGCAGATCGGCAGCTGCTATTCCAACTTGATGTCTCACATCGCTACCAAGCACCCACACTACGAGGAGACGTACGCTGCGACAACTGGTGGTGGCGGGCTCGAGAGTTTTGGCTTCGTGTCGCAGGAGACGAACCATCGCTTCCTGTGGTTGCAATGGATCGTCGAGCGCAATCTGCCCATCACTGAGGTAGACAACGAGCTCACACGCTCGATGAGCAAATGGCCGCCCGTTTCTTCCAAGACCTTGAAGAAGTGCATGCACACAGTGGCAAAGAATGTGGGGGCAGCCATCGAACACGAGATAGGCACCTCGTTTGGCCCCGTGCCTCAGCACCCCTCCATTGCTGTGAAGAAGCAGCATCTCCCACACAGCTTGGCGCTCTTCGTCGGTCGCTTCTGATCTGCTCATTGCCGCTCCGGTTTGAAACTGGGGGGGAGAGGTCCAGCGGGAAGATTGGGCGGGAGATTCAAAATTCAAAAACTTTGCAAGGTATAAATTTTGAACAGGATGTAATTTGATTGGAAATGCTCATTATTTTCCGCACGGAGGTAGTACAAGCTCAACTCCCACAAATGACTAGCAGCGGAGACTCTTCAGCGGCTATCATTTATTAGATTGAGTACAAATATCATTTTATAGGAAAAAAATGGTGGTCCAGATAACGGGGGAACCAGTCTAGGATAGCTACACATCAAACATTCCGTCGAAGCCTCGTGTTGTCCGCACGGGCAACCTCACCGATGGGGAAAAACTACAAATGTATGACAAGCACAAGCGAGAGCCGAAGATGTCTCAGAATCAGCTAGCGGAGTGGTGCAGTGTCAAGTTTGGGCTAGATAAGGCCCTCGTTCAAGCAACGATATTAAACATTCTCCGACGCTTCCATGAGTCGCCAGCAATGATAATCAAGCCAACCATGTACCCAGATCGGACGAGCTCATCCAGACAATGACCCGCCAGCTATACGAGGCGTTAAACGAGCGCGATGTGACGGGAAAAGAGATTTCGTTTACTGCTGGATGGCTTAGCGCTTTCAAAGTGCGTCATGACTTGAAGCGAGTGTGGTTGCACGGAGAAGGGGCTAGTGCAAATAGCGAAGCTGTCAGTGATTTCTTTGCGCGAGTGCAGCCTAACTTGTTCTAATATAACAAGAACAAGCTCATGCACAAGAAGCAGCAGCTCATTACCTCTCTTTTTAAACCACTTTGAAAATATCATTCAAGATGCTCGTATTAAATATTAACTAAGACCGAAAATATTAAGGTCTTTACTGATTCCCTATCAACCAAAACGGGAAATCGAAAAATAGCCATTTTTGATCATCTATCACGCCACGGCCGACAGCCCAGGTGATTGGACAAAAATGTAATTAAGGATGATTGGCAAAAAAAAACACTTGTCATTTCCACGTAAAGAAGGGGTGACTGCGGACGCATGAAGGCGGGCTCCTCGCCGCCAGCGCAGAGCGACGGAGACACGGGAGCAGCGCGTGAGTGAAGGGACTGCTGTAGGCGGGGGGAGGCGGGCTCTTCGCCGCCGGAGGGTGGTGGGACCCTCCGCCGTACAGACGTAGCTACACATGGCGAGATGAAGAAAGAGTGTCATGAGAAGCAGTGCTTGATTGACAATTTAATGCATGCTGTCTTCCAAACTGCATTACTTCCTAAGCTTGACGTCCTAAGCTTGGCGTTCGTCAAGCACATTGCAATCTCTTCTGGAACTCCCCACGCATTGAGGCTCGAAACTTATCAGCCTTAGAGGCTGTACACTTGCTCGTCAACTTGCGAATATCGTTCATCAGAGTCTTGGGTGAGTTTTCAACGATATGTTGGGCAATCTTATTCATGCAGTACAACATGTACACACCACAATTGTAGTAGTTTCGCTGTTCAGGTTGCATCGTCAACGCTAATCCCTCCATCACTGCAGAATGACCACTGATCTCTTCCATGAAGAGCTTGGCCACATCAAAAACATACTCCGACTGGTGCTTCGCTGCCACTGAGTCGACGTGATAGCACTGTACTCGATCAGAGAGGGGATGCTCCACTATTAGGAGGCTCCAGTGCTCCACCGCTGCAACAGGTATAAACACAACAGGATAACAATCCCATTCTACTTTGTCCACCAACTCCTTGACAGCAGAGAATGATTTAGTTGACTGGTCCACGTGCTCTATCTGAACAAACAGTGAGCTGCCAAATGGATATACAAAACCTTTTCCTCGAGCAATGCGCTTGTAAATCACAAAATCAACCACCGAAGCTATTAATGGCTGGCACGGCTCAACAGAGAAAAGGTCGGCTGGATAAACACCAACCGTGATACGTGACGGAGAGCTTGATCTCTCTTCGTTTGGATACCGGAAGAGGAATTTAGCGGACGTACCACGATCACGAAGAGTATAACGCTTCCTGGGTTGCAGCGCTAAATTATCGCTCTTTGGAGTGGTGGCCATCGGTGCGTCATGGTCGGGTGCAGATGATGGACGCCTACGACCGTCGTGTGGAGTGTCATTCAGGATGCCGTCATGAGCATCGTCGTCGGGTGCGACGTCAGACGCAATGGCCGCTGCCGCGGGAGACTGGGGAGTATCGATGGGGGCCTCGCCCGGGTCATCTGGGCCGTTGTCAGGCCCGTCGTCATGGGCGTCGTCACGGGCGTCATCTGGGCCATCATCTGGGGCGTCGTCCAGGCTGTAATCGAGCGCGTTGGCATCAGACGCAATGGCTGCTGTAGTGGAAGACTTGGGGGGGGTATCGTCGGGGGCTTCGTTGGGCGCGAAAGCGGTTGCAGCAGGAGGCTGAGCGTCAGCATCTGAGATGCCAGCAGCTGTAATCTTAGTGTGCGCTATGAAACGGCTTACCCAAACGGCCTGTGCACCATTTGACTTGACTTTACCGGTGAACTCCTTCTTGGTGCGGCAATATGCCAGAATATCTGCGTTTCTGACCCGTCCGTCTTGTCGAAGAGATTTCGCGTAGTATTCACGAACGGAACCTTCACAATCCAGAGTCTTGCGCTTCCGCCCACCACCTGGTGCTCGCAAGCGGTTGGATGGTCGAAGTGGAGCAGGGTCCTTGCTTAGAGTGCGGTCTGAGTACTGGTCTCTCCATCCGATCAAAGTCCCCTTCGGGTAACCAAGCTTCCTCGAAGCTTCCGTAGGCCCCATTGCTCGCGATTGCATTGCCACGTCTTCAGAGCTTTGATGATATCGACTTCGGAGACGTCTTTGTGGGCTCGATTGGTCGCCTTTTCACTCATTGTAGCGGGGTCTATGCGGTAGAGAGGCGATTGCGCTGTGACCACAAATCTCGTCCCCATAACCTAAGCGTAACCCATCGTATAACCGGTCGAACTAATCTGTAAGCGGTCGAACTAATCTGTTATCTGCTACCCTTATTACTTCGATGCGTACGAGCGGTCGCACTATTCAGACAGCGGTCGTACTATTGAGTAAGTGGTCGTACCATTCAGTTAGAATATTGGAAGCGCTAGAAGACTAGCTACAATGGTCTCCCTGCAACAAGCTCCGCACAGCAGTCAAGCATCCGCCAGACAGGATCACAAGAGGCAGAGCGGGAGCGACGCATGTCATGAAGTGGCGGCCGCAGAGGAGGGGAGGATGGCTCCTCCTCACAAGTAGTGCCACCGAAGCTGCAGCGTAGAAGACGAGGGGCTGGCTGTGGACGACGCACAGCACCGGCGTGAGGCGGCGCCGACCAACAGGACTGCGCCAGCGACGACGGTGGCTGCAGCAGCGGCTAGAGCGGCAAGCAGGGAGGCGTCAAGCCGCAGCAGGACAAGTGGTGGCGGCGCGGGCAAGCTGGTCAAAGCAACGTTGGCGGCCGAGCCCAAGGTGGAGAGCGACAGCAGCGCCGCACGGACAGGTGAGGTGGGACGGAAACCGCGGCGACGGTCACGTTCAGAGCGCTGCAGTGTGGTCCATGCTCGCCATAACCAACAGCACTAGCGCAATGCCCCAAGAGATATTTGAAATATTAATGCTTATTACGGTAAAACTTCACTCTTGTTGATCCTCTTTCTCGGTAATTTGTCGACCTTCGATCTAGACATGCTGGTCTTACCTTCACATCGTGTCTCCATCACTGTCTCCATCACTTCAAAGTGATGGAGCGGCAATTTCTTCAGAATCTTGGTTAAATTCACCATGCATGAGGAAGCGCCATACTAAAAGGAATTTTGCCTGCACACCCGAGGAATACAAAAACCTAGATAGATGTCGGCAGCAGACTCGGCATGCGAGAAATATCCCGTCTTACTTGACCACACTATGCCCGGGTTGCATATTTCGGAGCGTCTGCCGACATTTTGCGTTGGTCAGGTGTCGGCCGCTTCTAAACCTACCCCTAATGGATTTAATTGGCTAAAAAGGTCCTCCTCATTTGCTAAAAGTCAGAAGTGGGGATGTGATTGGCCCAGGCGTCTTTACTGAGGGCGAAATAAACTTTTGTGTGTCGGCAATAACACGATATTCAACCATATTAAATGATAGAGCATCATTTATGGGAGTTGAACGTGTAAGCGGATAATTAGTCTAAGCCGCCTTTTTTCGGATGTAACTGTCATTTTGAGTGCAACTGACTCGCAGCCGTAATGCTCAGAAATTCGCAATAACATCGTATTTTATCGATAAGACCTTGAATTATTTATAAAATTTACACTTCGAAATGCCTGGTATGAACGCCAGTGTAAACTGCAGACACCGGTTCATACTTCATCCAACTAATGCCGTGCGTTGCCCGAGAAGCTCTGGATATATCACGTTTATTATAACTAGCATATCCAACATTGCGGTTCGTGTAGTTTACACCTCCGATCGAGATGCTGATACCGCGAACACGGCAAGCACGGCACGCCATCAGCAAGCCATCCCAAACAGGAGGTATCCATCGTCGTCAACTCCTGCTAGTGAGTCGTCGTCGTGCGTGCGTGAATGCACCATGACCTGGCGTCTGCCGATCAAACAGAACATATGGCTGCACGTAATACCCGTCGGCCCACCTCGATGATCCACTCGGTAGTTATAAGGGCGGCACACAGAGGAAGAATACAGCAAGAATGCGGCTCAAGGTCGAAGAACTCGTAGAATAACCGCTGGGCCGATGTGACCACTAGGTCATGCACCTGCATGCACGGGTCATTATTTACTTCTTTGTGTTTTCGTAAGCTACACTGCAGTTATGTACAAGAGTTGGTACTGTATAAATATTGGGCGATTGTGCTACTTGGTTTGCAACGTAGCTCGGATAGGTTAATAATCAAATGGGGCTGTTTGATTGGCTATATATAGCTCGGCGCCTTGTTTTGCTTAGACTAAGTGCATTGCATGACACCCAAAGTCGTGACAACAAGAGTAGCTTGATATTGACGGAACTGGAGCTGATATCGTCGACTTGGTGTTATATAAGTACAGTAACATTGATGGCACTTATAACTGCATTCACGCTCATCAACAAGGTCGGTTTGGTTGCTGTGGGAGTCTGCCCGTGGAATAGCGTTTCCACGAAGACTCCGACGGCCCTACATATATCAGTAAATGTAGTTTGAAGTGAATCTCCTCACAAGAAAACACTGGAAACCACAGCTCTGCCCACGAGCTTTACCGTCTTGCTCGAAGCTACACCCGACGGCATCTACATGTTCGGAGCTATGGCTGGCGTCATGGGCTACCTACCTTGGCCAGAAATTTGCACGGCGTCGCGTCAGCGGCCTTGCACCAGCGTGAGCATCTCTTCCTTGACAAATGGGTCTGTACGATGTCATGTCCGTGGCTTTAATTTAGAGCTGCGTGCAGCGTTCGTGTCCTCACCCTGCAGTACCGCGGTCCCACAGCTCGTGGACACGACACCGGACACAGCTCTAGCCCTAGGCACTGTGATCCTTGTAGTTTTCTAGCAGCACGACCTTCGCCTTCCTGTACGTAGTGTAGCGCCGTGTGCTTTGAGCCATGGACGGCGATTTCTGTTGTGATTAAATACGTTTACAACCTTGATTTGGCTTTACTAGGCGATTTGCACCCCTGCGTTTGCAACCCTATCTTAATTTTACTATGCTGGGGGCTGACTTGCTACTGGTATGCTACGGTTGCAAAGTCGGCCGTTATGCTACGGTGCTTGCAAAGAAGGTTGGAAACGGCACCCCAATTTTATGCGTGGTACAATACGGACCATCTATTATAGCCAATCAAAATCCATAAATCACAGAAATACAACTTCGGTTGCAAATGGCCGATAATGTACGAGTATTGCTCCAGCCGCGGCTGTATGTTCCACTAAGCGCGATCGAACATACAAAAGATTCCTACCAAAACGTCTGTAAAAGCTACATGTATCGTGTTAGCTCTCACGTCCTCCAAAAGCATAAGGCTCTCAAATACTCCAAGGCAAAGTAAAACACAACAGTCCGTAAATTATGTTGTACGAATGTCTTCATAGTGTTGTTGCACGGATGTTGTTCTTGGCTGACTGGGCCAACATTCACAGTGTGGGATAAGATTCCACAGATTCCGTCGAATTATCTTGCTCACAATAAGATACGTACTTTTTCGATATTACAAGCGTATCCAATTACTATTTTAAACAGGATATTTGAGGGTCTGCGATCCTGGTAAGAACTCTGGACATAAATACCCATAGAATTTTGAAAATCTTAGTGTCCATGATAGTATCGTTGTCAGAATACTTGTCGAGGGCAAAATTTGTATTATTAGCTCGTAGAGCATGTGCTGGCAAAAGATGAAGAATTTCTTTAGCGCCATCACGTTTTTCAGTCTCTTCTGATACAGCACTTGTACTCGAAGTATAAACAATGCAACGTGCGCTCAAAAGCAGCAATCCAAATTCAAATTTGGTTTTGCTGCATATTGAATGTACAGTATGCAGTCTTGTTGCACTTCTCCCACATCCATCGAGCACCAATTGTGGCTCGTTCACTCGACAACACCGTAGCTGTACAGCTACCATATTGAAAATACTTGCGTGGTAGTAATACCAACGTGGCGCAATTGCACAATTTCTAATCGTCACTACTTCAGTTTGTCCATTTCGATACTGCGAAAAAATGTACTCCATCATATACGGCATGGCACGCCGAACGTCGAAGGGATATCACGCACTAGCACCAACATTATTCAGCACGTCTAGCAACTCCTTCAGTTGCTCATAATCCAGGATATTCGCTGGTGCAGGATAATCCTGGATTGTTGGACTGTGGATAGAGTCGAAGCTCGTAATGAACGAAATGGAGAGCAAGCAGCTTTCGACTGTAGAAGTAGGACCACGTAGGCTCTGCGACACGGTGGTGGTGCGCAAGCTGAAGATTCGGATCACTAGGGCAGATGTCGGCGTCCAGCTCTTTAAGCGGGCCATAACGGTTTTACATGTGAACAGCACTACGATAGACAAGTCAGCGACACTTGAATTACCTTCTTTTCAAAGTCATTTTCGAGTTAGAGCGACAAGAGAGCTCAAAGTGGACTGCTTTCGACTAAAATCCTGTCACAATTGCACGAAAAGGTAATCAGGAGGTGTACATGCGTTGTCAATTCCACACTGAATTATCGGTCCGTCTCAATGAAAGTGAAGACGAGTCTGAAACGCAAGCATATGCAATGTAAGTGCATGGCGAGCGTCAACGTGACATCTTTTGGTTTCCGTTGTTCAGCTCTCAAAATTCGAGAATCTTGACGTGAAAATACATTTGTAGCCAGCCGGTCGACTTTGGTGCGTCTTGTCCATCTGGACGCGTGTAGGGCACATGTGCGACTCACACCATGTGTAAAGAGCTTGATTGAGTGGCAGCGAGGAGATCACAAGAGTCAGCAAGGCTTGCGTCCTCTTCCGTCGCATTTCTTGTGCAGATTTCAAGTGCCGGCTCGAGTCAGAGAGAGGCGGCCAAAGACGTTGGCAGATTTGCTCTCAATCTCGCCGCTACACTCACTCGTCCAGCTCTTTGGGGCCTCAACACTTTCGGATTTTGTGTGGAGGTGGCAAGGCATCACAATAATCCCTGGTAGTTTGGCACAGCGGGACCGTGTCATCTCAGTGCTGACTGCAACCATGGCCGAAATAAACAAACGCCAGCTCAACATCTCCACGGGCGAGAAAGAGTAAGTAGTGCTTGGCTTTGTGGTGTCAAATTCAATGAGGTCTCATGAAAATGCTGTCTCATTCGCCAGTATCACCATGGTCCCGTTGAATGATGAGGGCTACAGCGAGATGCCCAGTCCTCCGAATGTACGACTCCGCACGGGAACCATCGGCAGCGAGGATTTTAACGACAAAGGGGCCAATCTACGTATCGACATGGACAAGGACCAAAAGAAGTCGATCAAGTCGGACATGCTCTCTTGTAAGTGCTCTTTGTTAACACTACGACCCTACGCACCTGTTGACTAAAAACTTTCTCATTAAAGCCGAATTTCGCTTCAACGCTGAGTTGTCGCTTCGCGTTGCCTGCGGTGTGATCATTGCCTCGTTCATTCAGACGCGTGATCCAAACTACGATCCTTCGATTGAACACGACAAAAAGTGGTTCTTCTTCCCGGATTGGTATTATCTGGGCGGTCTCAGTTATTGTGCTGTGGCTGTTATCTTCTCCGCTGGAAAGAACGTCGGAGCGACGCTGACTCAGGTTTGCCAAGCATTTTACGGTGTCGGTATGGCGCTGGTGTACAATCTCCTGCTCTTCTCGTTCGTGGATGTACACACTTTCGATGGCTCGTACGAAGGCTATGTCAGCATATCAAAAACCGTGTCCTTCGGAGGATCCCAGTACTACGTCAACTCGCACAACTTCTACGCTGTTCTACCATGGATGGTGATCTTCACGGTCGCTGTTCTACTGTTACCTTTGGAGAGCAACACCAAGAAGTTCGCACTGGCCAATAATCTCTATTTCAGTAAGTTATCGAGATACTATTTTTGCTTACCATTTCTAACGATGTTTCTAACGCTGATTTGGTAATTTATAGCATTGACAATTATCAACCCCACCGATCCGCTGGATTCCAGCAAGTTGAAGGAAACGGGCGATAATTACTTCGAGACGAGCAACATCCTGAATAACCTGGCGATGTATTTCCTGGTGGGTTTTGTCGGAACGCTGATTTCGCTGCTGATCATGTTTATCCCGTATCCAATTTTGTAAGTTTCTGTAATTTTCGCATTTGAATGAATAATTTTTTAACCATTCGCGTAAATTTGACAGTGCGATAGCCAAACTGCGCGAGGAAACCAAGAAAGCGTCGGGGGATGTATTGGATCTGCTGAATGTCATTGTGGATTCGTACTGTTTCAAAAACAAGAATGTGGATCACATGAATTTCCTGAAGCTGAAGCTTCAGCGCAAATTTGACGTTGCTGCGGCGCGTCATCGTCGCATGAACGCTTTACTGGAAGATGTGTGGTGGGAGCAACTCTTTGGTTTCCACCTCTTTTTCAAGTTTAACCGCTCGATGACCAAGGGATATGTGCGACTTATTGGCTCGCTGATTGCGGACCTCCGATCCCTCAACAACGCCATGCAGCTCGAACAGTACGACCACTTGCACTTCATGTACATGAAGGTTCTCCAGCGTGAAATCTACGTCATCCAGATGCGATCCGGAGATCTCCTTCACGAAATTTCGGGAGAAATTCACTCATCATCTGAACGTAAGCATTATTTCCCGATAAATTGTTTCTAAGATTTGGGGATTCGTGAACTAACATTGTTGTTGGTGCACAGAGCTCAATCTTCAGGCGATTGAGACATTGAAACGACAAATGGAAAACACTCTGCGTCACTACCGCGAAGCTCAGATCCGTTTGTTACAATCGCACAAGGTCAAGCCGAAAGACGTCGAAGGCAACGTCCCGCTAAACTTGTTTCTATTCTCGCTCAACTCGTTCTGCAGCACTCTGATCGAGTACCAAGACACACACAACAAAAAGGATTTCCACGGTGGTCGCCGTGCTCGTTCGTTTATCGCACAGGCAATCAAAGACTTTTTCGTAGTTCACCGATACACCCGAGCTCGAATTCTTGAAGCTGCCCGAGTATCCGTCGCTATCATCATGGGTATCTTCCTGGCGGTGTATATCTACGGCTTCAGTTCCACCACTCCGAGTGCTGTTGCATACGTCATGGGCAATCACATTGGAGGCTCCTTCAGCGTCACAGTGAATCGTGTGGGTGGTGTCGTGGCTGGAAGTGTCGTTCCCTCGGTTTTCCAGTTTTTCATTTCCCAGATTTGCAATCCGGAGTTTCTGAATGTGTTCCTATCTGACCTACTGCTCTTCATTTGGGTCACGTTGTCCATGTACGTCAAGTTTGTCGAGGGTTACAGTTCGTACGCTGGTGTGGTCTCAGCTTTCATCGCTGCTGGAGTTCTCCTTCGCCAATCCGATGTATGCTACGCTAACGGTTCTGACAGCTCTTCGACGATCGCTATCAGTTCATATTCCAGTCTGGCACAGACTTCGGTCGGTTTGGTGCTGTTCATTGTGCTAGAAATGGCAATGTGCCCTGAAAGTGCCACAAGTTTACTTCGCAAGAACATCCAACAGACGCTCAAGTTGCAGCAAAAAGTCTTCGGTATTTTATTCGGCCATCACCTTTCAAGCTCCGGACAAATGAGTGATGAGACTATGGAGGAGGTTCGTGATATCCTACAAGTGCAGATTCCAGCTCAGCTGGTGGAGCAGCAGGCGCTGCTTAAAGAAGCTGAAGCTGAGCCGCAAATGTGGCGTCCAGCGTTCTCCAAACAGAAGTACGAGGCTGTGTTCGACAGTACCACGCGCTTGCTGAACAACAACAACTTGTTGTTCAAGCTGGTACGCTGGTACAACTACCGAGTGAAGCAGAACCTGACGCAGTCCAACTCGGTTGATATCCGCGATATGGGGACTGAGAGTGCTCGCGTGTTTGATACAAATGGAGGCCGGACAACGCACACGAGATGGCAAGAAGCGAGCAACCAGTTGTTGTCTGCTGTTGACGATACCTTCAACACGTTGCAGATGCTGTTCGGTGAGTCTTTCCTGTACTCGGATCCCGATCAAACAGCCATTTTCATGCAGATGAAGGAGGCTTTCCGTGTCGCGGATAAGGACTGCAGTGGGGAGATCGATGCCGATGAAGTCGCAGTTATGCTGGAAACCATTTTCGCTCAATCGGGTGCAGTCAAACAAGAGGATATCACCAAATACGTCGCGGATTTCATGGAGATCGTGGACAAAGATTGCAGTGGCAAAGTGTCTTTCGAGGAGTTCATGGCAGCTTTAGAAGATGGTCTGAAGCTGGAAGTGGAAGTGTACCATCGTCGTAAACCTAAGGCAACGACGTTGAAGCAACAACTGACAAGTATTCAGGAAGATAGTCATGTTGGTTCTCGTGCGGCTCGTGCGAGCTGTAGCGTCACGTCTTCCAACAGTGCGGACATGACGAAAATTACGGCTAGTATGTTCGACACGAAGTCGCAAGAAGGTCGAGTGTTGAGTACGGTGTCCTCGGCACAGAACACTCCGAGGAGAGGGTCTGGTTACACGAAGCGGGCTTCGTCGCTGGTCACTTCGCCCATTCGACGCAACCACGACGTGCTGAATGTCGAGGACTTTACGACGAGTGACATCGCAGCTCAGATGAAATCTGCTTATGTCGAGTGGCTTATGGAAGGCCACCGATTCAAGCGAGTAACAATGGAGGAGCTGCTCTTGCTCAACTGTCTGGTTAGTGGCGCTGAGGGCATTGCCAGAAACCTGACGCTTATGGAAGAGATCGTCGTTGCATCATAAGAGTGGTAAGTGGATAGAGCCTGCCATGTGAGTGTAGAACAAAATACAATACTAATTTCAATCGCATCCTGGTTTCAAAATATTTTTCCCGTTCAGGGAGATCCTTAAAGGACTAGCATACTTGCAACAACGTTTTCGACAGTCTCCTCGTCTCTTTTTCACGCTTCGTTCAAAGGCGACATCAAAAAAACTGGTCGCAGCTTTAGTCGTAGTTGTCACCCGATGCGTAGCTTCCGTAGCTCTGGTTGCCACCGGATATGTCCATACCACTGGAGCGGCCAGCGTGACTCGCGCTTCCATGCATTCCACGAGATCCGTGAACACCTCCGCCCATGTCTCCCGAATAGCTGGAATAGTTTCCACCTTCATCGTCGTCATCATTGCCCTTACGGCCCGAGTGCTCCTTGGAAACACGGCGACGATAGCTGTCGTCATCGTCTTGCCCCCCGCCCATGCTCGAGTAGCTAAACTTGTCAAGGCTCGAGTCTCCAGAATGCCCTGTCACGCTTCTCTCGCCGCCAAACCCAGTCGTACTGCCACTCGATCCGCTTGAGTAACCGCTGGCTCCTCCCGAGCGCGACGAATAGGACGTCGACGCATCAGGGTCATTTTGCTGACGATCATCCCAATCATCTCGCGAGACACCCGTGTCACGCGAATAACTCTTGGTCCCAACGTCAGGTTCGCCACTAGCATCCGACGAACGGTATGCCGAGCTCATGTTTGGTCCAGTGTTGGAGCGGTCGTCGTTTTCCTTGGACTTGTGTCCCTTGTCCTTGTTCTTGCCCATCATCTCGCGGATAGCTTCCATCTTTGGCGCCTTGGAGTCGAATTCGGTTGTGAAGTGCCGAGATCAACTCGAAAGCTCGTTGAGACAGTCTATCGAGACAAGGCTGTGAGATCTATTCGCATGGTCGCAGTATTTCCATTTCAACTTGCTACCTTCCAGTTGGAATGACAAACATTGGTCATCAGCAGTGTCCCAGTCCAGTTGAGAACTTTTAGACTATTGCTTTAACTGTAAGATCTGTGATTTGTCTACTAGCTTTGCCAGCGAATACTAGTTTCTACATGTGCTTCGTTGACGTCTCACATCAATAATGACACTGTGCGAAGCAAGAAGTATGATGTTACTGAAGTCGTTCATTCTCGCTTTAGTCGAAGCACGAACTACCGATGATAGGATCAATCCAGCTACGAGCGCGTGACACTCGAGAGTAGACACCAGGGTAAAAGGGTCCTTGTCCGCAGGCATTATCTTTGCTCCAGCTCACAACACCAACGAGTACATCGTTGCCACCGTTAGCAGATTCCACGACAAGCGGTCCTCCAGTGTCCCCGGCGCAGGCGCCCTCGCTGATCACGCCGTCTACACACACCATCGTGCTGTCAATTGCAGCCACTTGTTGGCACTCCTTGTCACTAATGAAAGGTAAGTCGACGCTGCGGAGCTCCTTGGACATGACGCCGTTCTCACCCGTTAACCCCCATCCGATCGTTGTCGCTGTCGCTCCAGCCTTGAAGTCGGAATCGTCGGCTGCAGCGAGCTTCACAGGCTTGAACGAACTCACTGTTTCCAACTCTAAGAGCGCGAAATCGGCGCTAAAGTCGACATTTACCGAGAAATTAGGGTGATTCATGACCGCCGCAACCTTAATCTGTTCTCCATCTTTGGTTCCGCTGAGGTAATGAGACCCAATTGACGCCCAGCGGATGTTTTTAGGGGCGCACTGAGAAGAAGTGAGCACATGCGTGGGGCTGACAAGAGATCCACCGCAGAAACTCTCGCCGTCCTCGGAGCTCCGGAGACCAACTGTGTATGTCTTGGCTTTAGCCTTGACGACCGAGCCACCGAGAATAAGTTTGCGGTGAACATTTTCAGATGCGTCTACAGGACTGGATGCCAATGCTAAAGCAAGCGATGCGGCAGTGACGAAAGCGGTCTTCATGACTTGTCAAGTTGGGGAATGAACCGCAGATAAAGCGAGATTCGGAGAGATTTGTTGAGCGGCGGCACCGGGATCAGAGATGGCTTGGAGATGGTTCGCTCTTCGAGATCTGTCTGGCGGTACAGTAACTTACTGGCAGTAAGTATGGCAGATATATAACAAACATGGAGCACAAATACAGAGATGTACATGAACGGGATTTACTACGATTGAGTGTTGATCTTCTTCTCAACCATTGATTGTCGTTGGTGCCGCTGGGTTTGTGGCTTTACTCGCTTAACGTGCATAGTTAGAGACCCTCTTATCAATCTCAATGATGATGACCAAGTCCGTACATTTCTAAGTGGCTGCACTGTATGCATATCTACATAAATTCGTCGCTTCCGTCGCAAACGTAAAGTTCACTTTGCAATACATCTCCAGCTTCTATTATCAATTTCACTGGCGGGTTCGTTAACGCTTTACGTAGGGGGCTCTTATAATTGATCAAAGTTCCCACTCCAAAACCCAATCATATCACTTGGCGCCATATTCCTGATTCTTCGGTATCTTTCTTCATTCCTAGATCTCCTCAATGGACTCGTGGCGGGTGCTCTTCCCGTGGTGCAAGTGGCTGCGTGGACGTCTGCAGCTAAGCAATTCACCGCAGCATGCTGCTCCTAGTGACTATCAAGACGACGATTGGTTGTTGGTGACGTTGCCAAAGCTCCAGCGCGACGCCAGCTCTGAACTGCTGCGGAAGATCCGGGAATCTCTGATTTTATTGTCAGTTGTGGCAGCAGCGGATCGGCCGATATTCTGTGATATTTTACGTGAAAAGTGTGGCGTGGATGGCAGCTTCAACAACTTTGACAGTCTCCGGGTCATCTTCGTACTGGACGATCACAATAGCCGGTCGATGCCGTGGCCCGAGACAATATGTAAAGCTCTGTTGGGTTGGGATGGAGAGGCTACTTTGAGTGAAGATTTCTTGCTGGCGAAGGAAGAACTCGAGAAGATCGCCGAGAAGAAATTAGGGACACTTGTTTCGGACACAGCCATTCCCTTCTGTCTCCATTTCGCACCCCAATATATTAGTTTAGTGAGTCCTCAACAATATCTTGAAAGTGTGCAACGAGTACTCAAACAAGTGATGCCAACACGTGATCAAGTGAACAAAAAGAAGAAGGAAAATGCACCAGATGATCATCACAATGATAATCAGGACAACGAACACGGTGGCGGTTGCCTTTGGCCTTTCGTGTTTGAAGCTGTGCAGTTAAATTTAAGGGAAATCGAGTTGAAGGAGTCGGTAGCAAGAGCATTGGAGGAGCTGGTGATGCTAGGAGCCAAGGTATCGTGTCTGCAGTTACCGTTAAAGTGGACAGACTTCTTCTCTTCAAGCGAGTGCTCGCGACAGCCACTAGCAGAGTGTTTTCTGGCTGTTTCGGGCGGAGGACCTAGAACTAGACTGTTTTCGTCGAGGATGGCAAAGGAACCGTACGATAAAAATGAGGAGCGATTGAGTAGAGTGGAGGCGGTTGTGGTGAATGACGTGGATATTGACGATCGGCGGTTCGCAGCGCTGTGCTCAGCATTACGTGGAGCATCAAGTGTGAGAGAACTTGTTCTGGAGTCTGTATTTGCTCAAGACACACGGGGGCCTCGTGCACTCAAGTGGAAGTGGTTAGCTTATGCTCTATTTACACCAAATAACGAGAGATCGTCAGTGAAGAAGTTGGTTATCACCGAGCCAGAGCTTCTCGCTGATGACGTTGCAGCCATCGCTACCATTGTGAACTCATGCAAACCTGCACAAGAACTACTTGACCCTCTGTGGGCTGATCATGAGGTTAGCCAACGTATCAAACAGTCCAGAAAGGATGAAGAAAACAATCAACCTGAGTGGGAAACCAGCAAGGCTGAAGAAATGGTGCGATTAAAGAAAGACACAATGGTGTTTCTAGAACCGCTTTGCGGCCAAAACGAGTGGGGGCTGGCCTCAGTGGTGCTTGAACACGACGCAGATTTTGCTCTAATGGATGCCAGCAGTACTGAAGAATGGGTGGAAATTCTCGTTCCAGGGTACGGCAAGTGCTGGGTGGATCCAGACGCTGCACACGACCGCTATCTATCCGACTTAAATTCATACAATTGGACAGGGATTACAGATCTAAAGCTTGTCACGCAAGTGGCGAAGAGTTCAACAGACAAAGTATTTACCCAGTTCTTTCAGCTCGTCGGTCACGACCTGGTTAACCTCGTTCTCCATACCAATTTACTGCGAGAACAAGGTCTAGGCGCTATCCTCCGCTCGTGTCCCAATCTTAAGAGCCTGGAGCTTAATGGTGCTCAGGTGCACGATATGTTTGCCTTCACACATGGATATGACGTGGGGTATTGTCAGATCAAGGCTCTCTCTATTGAGCACTTCCGAGTGAGCCCATCGAGCTTAAAGGAATTTGCAAAAGTGCTTAGTGACCCTGATCGAGAAGCTGCACGGCATATTTGTAAACTATGTATCGGAAAATTACGTATTCAAGATATTGACGTCGCAGTTGCTGACTATGAAGCTATGATCGAGACGTTTGTGCGGATGCTGGACACGAACACAACTCTCGAGTACTTGAAACTCTATATCGAAGGAGACTTCTACACGCGCTTTGCGAGGAGCTTTTCAGCGCATGATGGAGAGCAGCTACCACCTGAGGAATTGTCGTCGACACGCAAACTTGCGTTCATTAGTATTGTTCATTCTGGCAAGAGCAAACGTCTGGAGAATCGGTTGGTGCGTTTAATCTTCAGATATGCAGCAAGACGCGTGACTCGCGAGGTATGCATCATGAACTACTGATGGTTAGAAGCCCCCTCTCACCGAAACAGATTTCTTGCCACAAAGACAACCGATAGCCGAAGCAAAAAGAACCTTGCATGTCGTCGTTCAACCTGGGACCAAGCACGAATGAATTCTCTAGTGTTGGGGTCGTCGTGGCACCACAGACTTGAATTTGCCAGCTGAATCGAGGACCAAGAACAAGAACCAAGATCATGGGCAAAGGCAGCGGCGGCGGAAGTGGATCTAAGGGCGGAGGCTCGAGTGGACGATCTGGATCGAAGGGCGGGAGCTCGGGAAGCTCCAAAGCGGCCGCTGACAACCGCTCGAACCAGATGAACCCCAATAACTCGGCCTACTACTCGTCACGCGCGCACGGATAAACTACGCACTTCGCCGGTTGCGGATACAACCAGATGCACGAATTTTGTTGCTGTGACCTTACTGCTGATGATTAAGAAACGAGAAATACAAGAGCGGTAAAGCACAGTGGCTCGTTGTCAAGTAAGAAGCTTGCCACTATGGCTGTAAGACTCCCCAATCAACTTTCGTTAACCATTTCTTTGAATTGCTGTAAATACCTTGAAATTCAAACCTTTTCTCATGGCCAACGACGTCCTTGGCAACGGTTAGCCAACGCAAGCAGAAGCTGGGAACATGCGCTCCCATCTCTATTATTTAGCGACGTTTGTAGCAGCTTGCGCCTCAGTTAAGCCGAGGATCAGAACAAGAACAAGATAATGGGCAAAGGCGGCCGCCGCCGCTGGGCCTAAAAGCGGAGGCTCGGGATCGAAGGGGGGCTCCAGCGCTCGATTGGCGAAGGTGTCAAGGCCGCAAGTGGTGGGCGACAACATTCAAGCGGCAAAGGCCGGGTAAGTCAGCAAGCCACACGTCGAGCAAACAGGGCAGCACCAGAGCGACTAGTGCCATGCCCAAGTGGGCTTTGGACAACCGCGCGAAGGCTGCAGCTCAACCCCAACAACTTCCGCTACCGAGGCGAGCCGATGCAGTAAGTGTGTTACGGCAATACTCTGTCCACGTAACAACCTTTGAACGAAGTCTTTGCTGTTCTACAATGTAGACTACATGTTAGCAGTGATTGAGTTTCTTGAAGTTGCTAGGCATGGGATGCATGTAGCCATCCGATGTGGCTTAGTCGGTCGAAGTATCCACTCAGACGCATCCATCTGGATTTGCCACTCGCTATTGCTGTATATTACGCCGCTTTCATTTCTCCTTTCGCCTTGAAGCGCTTAATCGATTGACCAGCATGGACTTCCTCAACAAATTCTCTGGCGGCGATTCCAGCCACAAGGACAAGAGCAAGAAGAGCGACTCGATCTTCAACAAGGCCATGGACGCCGCTGAGAAGTACCACGCCAAAGAGAAGGCTTCCGAGTTCGCGCAGAAGCGTGTGGCCAAGCGAGAGACCGAGAAACACCAACCTGGGTACGTCGCGAAGGACAAGTCGACAGTCGACAAGGCCGTGGAAGCCGCTGAAGACTTCCTTGCCAAGCAGGGACAGCCCAAGGCCCAGCACACCGAACACAAGAAAGACAATCAGATGGACGATCTGTTCGGCAAGGCCAAGGGATTTCTCTCCAAGAAACACTAGAACAAGACAGTTACGGGTTAACAGCCTATTCAAAACATGTACTTTGAACCAACAGGATATTGTTTCATGTCTTAACTCCATCCGAATCTTGCCAGCAGCAGGTAACCTTCAAACTATACCGAGGTGGTATAGCTGTTGATTATTTGCATGGATATGGTGGCAATATTCAGGTGGCGTGAACCTTCGGAAGATCCAGCCGAACTGAGATCGGCACGTGGCTGATTTCTCGTACCGAGGGGCTGTCAGATACGCAGCGCTCGCTCGGTATGGGTGTCTTGTTTAATGGTAGCGGATACTTTCATCTCACTTTCGATCTTGCCGAGCAACAAGCACTTTGGACTACAGAATTTCCTCATCGATGGACTCGATGCTGAACAAGGCGAAAGAGGCGGCGGAGAAGTACACGGGCCACGGAGACTCGCACAAGGACGAGTCCAAGCTGCACCACATGAAGCACGAGGCCGAGAAGATGTACATGAAGCATGCCGCCAGGGACTACGCGGAGGACCACGGGTTTATCAAGAAGAAGCACCACGAAGACGAGTCCATTTTGGACAAGGCCAAGGATGCTGTGAGTAAGGTCACTGGCCACGGAGATTCACACAAGAAGAAGGAAGACGAATCTTTCCTTGACAAGGCGAAAGATGCTGTGGAGAAGTACACAGGCCACGGCGATTCGCACAAGAAGAAAGAGGACGAGTCTTTCTTGGACAAGGCTAAAGAGGCTGTGGGCCAGTACACCCACAAGCACTAGATGTTGTGTCGTGCGTAGAATTGGACATCTTTGAATTGAGCTCTTTTCATTCGACACCTAACGAGATCTTACAGTTAAAGCAATAGTCTAAAAGTTCTGCTGGACTGGGACACTGCTGATGACCAATGTTTGTCATTCCAACTGGAAGGT